AGGTTGGATTAGCTGATTTTCATTGCTGCTGTTTAGGAAAAATACAAAACCTTCAGGTTCCAAAGCTGTTTTACTCCGAGTGAAAACTGTTGTCGTGGCTGCAGCTGCCCTGAAGCAACAGCTCTCTGTCACTTTTTCCTAGGGCTTCCTCGAGAAGCCCGTCGGCTCCCGGAGGTGGAGTGGGCAACCTGAATAACTCCCTCTGTTCCCGAGCGTGCCGTTTCCTTCCTCCTCCTCCTCCTCCTTCTCTCCTTTGCTCCGGTGTTTAGAGGACCCGGTGCGAAGAAACCCTTTCCTCCTTTAGCTTCGGCGTGCTGAAGCGGCTCGCTGAAGGTCAGATGAGTTTTGGAGGGGAGTGAAGGAGCGAGAGCAGGGTAGGTAGCAGTCAGATGGCTGTGGGGTGGTGGCTGAAGAGCTCTGGTGGCTGCTCGCTGCTGGGAAGGGAGGTCCTGGCGTTGCCCTGCCAGCTGGCAGGAAGATGATTCAGGCAGCTAAGCTGGAGGGAACAGAAACTGTCAGAAAAGGGGGAAAAAAATGGGTATGAGATAATGCTCTTTGGAGTAGTGACTCTGCCCTCAGCAGCAAGGGTGGAGATGAGAAGTTTGTGGTCTGGCAGATGAGCAGGGCAGGGTCTCAGCTGTGTTGTGAAGGACACGGGATCCTCTGGGGCTGGGCACCGTATGAACGCATGGCAAACAGTATTTTGTCATCTTTTAGAGTGTAAAACCTTCTTTGGGGGCAAGCACGGGTAGCAGTGAGTTAATCTGGAGGTGATGGGTCAAGTTAGTTACACTGAACGGACCAGACATGTGGAGCCTTACGTTGGAGACCGCGAGGAACAGGGGCGGGGTGGAAGCTTTGGGAAGAGAGGAGAGAGTCGCGGCCGGGGCTGCGCTGAGTCTGTCCACATCAGCGACAGAAGCCCGCCGGGCCAGTATGGTGCCTGCGTCTTCCCGTCTCAGCCCCGTGGGGCGTTTCGGTAAGTCGACGTGCCGAGAGCTTCTCCCTGGTCTGGGTCACCCCGTGGTGAGGTCTTCGGGCCTCGAGAAGCAGGTGATGGTGCACAAGCTGCCCTGCAGAGCCGAACCGGCGTGTGCCGGGCCTGGTGTGACAGCCTGGCAGCGGGGACAGTCCTGCTTCTGCGCTGGGAAGCTTCTCCGGCGCTCCTAAAGGGGCGAATTCCAAGGTACCCTTCCCCTCTGTTGCACCGTTTGGAGTTAGCTCTGAGGATTTATTTTGCTTCCCTGTAGAAGGTCCCGGGGCTGAGACTGTGAGGGGATGGAGCCCCACGGCTGGTTGGGGGGGGGTCCCTTTTAAAAAGGGTCTACAACAAAGGAGACGCACAGCCAGAGTGAGGTCGTCTTCGGAAGTCCTCCATCTTACTGATGATCTCCAAAAGTACCGGGTTTCTGCCCACCCCTGCAGTGTGCTGCTGAGGGCTGGATGTCCGTTGGAATGGTTGGGATGGTGGCTCCTCGTGACCCAAGTTATCTTCCGTTATCTTCCTCGTTTCCCTTGATCCGTGAGCTGCAAGTTGCTGTCGAGCTGGTGAGGAGGTCAGGTGCTGGATGATAGTAATTGGAGGATGACTTTCGATGACGAAGGCTTGGCAGAAGCAGGAGAAACACGGGCCTTTGCCATGCGGTGATTCTGGCGTGCGGCACCGACGGTCTGGAGAAACGGCCAGCGAAACTGCGAAGGGTTTGATCCATGAAAACCATGTCCGTCTCTATTCACCCCTGAATGTTATTTAAATGAATAATTCCTGTTACTGCTGTTTTCTTGTACAAGGCTCAGAAATCGCCCCTTTTCTCAGTGACACCTCTTACTTCAAAATGGCTCGGACTGTTTGATCCACCGGTGACAGCAATTCATCCTCTCGAGCAAGGAGCAGTGAACGGTGGGCGGAGCTGTTCCCGGGTGAGCTCATCTTGGAGCTCGAGACACCGAAATGGAACCACCTCTGACCAAAGTGCTCCTCTTTCTGTTCCCAGTAGGACCCCAGTGACTGGTACTCGCTGTCAGAATGGGAGTTCAGGGTTATTGACCTGATGGCAAAGGGGAAGAGTCCTGTTTTTCCATCCCTGAGGCCTCTTAATGCTTGGATAGGTGTTAGTACAATCTGAGAGGCAAGGTTTCTCTGCTGGGTTCCTAGAGACCCCAAAACTACCAGCTGTGGTCTCACCCTCTTCTCTGTACCTGGCCAAGGGGCTTCTGTAGTGACGCCACCTGCAGAAGAAAAAAACCCAGCAGATATTTTGGGGTTGTGTGCTGCATTTTGGGTCTCATCTTCCCCTCGTGTTCCACCAGCGAATAAGAGGTTTCTGTGGTCCCTTCAGAAGTGGATGCTAAAGAAACTTTGCTCAGATGCCCGAGTGTTGTTCCTGAACAATGCTGCTCCAATTCAAGTGAATATTTTTCTTGGTTTTTTTTCCTCCAGTCAAAGAGCTTTGGTCTTTGTGGCTTGCTTTGTGTACTCGCTGCTTTACAGTTGACCTTACCACTCGGCAAGCCTGCGAAAGCCAAACTGGTAGGTCAGGAGAGGAGTAGCTGTTGACACTGGCAGCTAGGAACATGTAAAGAGAAGGATAAACAGAGGGAAATCAGAGACTGGATAAAGTTAGATCTCCAAAGATAAAGTTTAGTTAAAGATAATGAGCTGGCCTTGTTTAAAAAGACAGCTGCAAAATAACCCGGTAGCTCCATGTGCTGGGGTTAAAGTTGACCTAGAATATACGTTTCATTGCTTTTCATAAATAAATAGTGGAGGGAAGATTTGGCAAAAAGCAACATTGCCCCCCACCCCTCTTCAGCAAAGCGTTTGATGTTAACAAGTTCTCCGGGTGTTTACTCTGTCCTCCGCGCTCGCCGGCGGAGCGGCTCTCCTGCCCTTGAACCGAGTGAGAATTCAAATAAACCGAAGCGCTTGCAGCTCGGCCCCTCTCTTCCGCCATCTGCGTCTCACCAAAACAGCCCGGTCCGCAGGATGGCCGTGGGCCTTCCCGACAGCTGAAACAAATTTGCCGGATCGGATCGAACTGCCCGGAAACGGGAGCGGGACTCGGCAGCGTTTCTGTCGGCCTTCTCGAGCTGTCCTTGTAAGCCTGGAGTGCAACGTGCAGGGAGAAGTAGCAGTAAGCAAACAGCTCTATAAAAATCTCGAGTGATCGTTTTATGATCATTGGAGTCTTTTCCTGATGCTTCTTTTGCATATATATTTCACAGTGATGCCCCGGTGATAGCATACTGTTATTTTGAAATAAACCGTGGGAATCGTTTCGCTGTTGATATCTGGATCCGGCCTCTTGGAAAGCAAACGGCTCTGCCAGCGCTCAGGAAACCGGGACCGATTTCTATCGAGCACGTGTGGCGTCGCACTTGTTTCTGCGTGCTGCCAGTAAAACTCCCAGTGATTGTATGTGTGTTAGATCCGTGTTTATGTACACGTCTGATATATGAGATGTTTAAAATATACGTCGAGTGTTATCAGCAGCGAAATTGTGCGGCCGGGCTGATAAATGAAGTAACTTTGCTAAATGAACTCAAATCTTATTCATCATAACATTCCGCAAGGCAAGTAGAAAATCGAAGTGAGCGACAGCTGCAGAGTATTTTTCTCTTCTTGGAGAAGGGAGTGTTTGATGGAGAGGCCGAGTGTCAGATGTGCGGTTTCTGCAACTCGCCGCGTGCAAGTCCGGTTGCTGGTTTCACAGAATCCCAGCATGGTCGGGGTTGGCAGGGACCTCTGTGGGTCACCCAGTCCCACCCCCTGCCCAAGCAGGGTCACCCAGAGCAGGCTGCACAGGACCTTGTCCAGGTGGGTCTTGAATATCTCCAGAGAAGGAGACTCCACAGCCTCCTTGGGCAGCCCGGGCCAGGGCTCCGTCACCCTCAGAGGGAAGAAGTTCTTCCTCATCTTCAGCTGGAGCTTCCTTGGCTTCAGTTTGTGCCCATTGCCCCTTGTCCTGTCGCTGGGCACCACTGAAAAGAGTCTGGCCCTGTCCTCCTGACCCCCACCCTGCAGATATTTATTGGCATTTCTAAGGTCCCCTCTCCACCTTCTCTTCTCCAGGCTGAACAAGCCCAGCTCCCTCAGCCTCTCCTCGTAGGAGAGATGCTCCAGTCCCCTCCTCATCCTCGTAGCCCTCCGCTGGACTCTCTCCAGTAGCTCCTCATCTTTCTTGAAGTGGGGAGCCCAAAAGGTTTAATCGTTTAGTTCGTGTCATGCTGGTTTCGTGGTGTAGTCTGTGGGTTTTTTGGTGCTGAAAGTGAGATCTTGTGTAGCGGAATGGTCGGGTGGGATATGGCCAAGGAAAGGACAGTCCTCTTGTAGAAGCCACCATGTAGCTACAACCACACGTAACGGATGCTTCAGAACTAAGTAGGAGAAAGCAGTGCTGGCTTGGGAATATAAATGAGAATGGCATTAACATTGGTGATTTTTTTTCAGTAGACATTGGCCATGGTGTGACTGTAAAGCACGCAGGCAGGAGGGAGCAGATGAGGCGTCTCAGTAAGCAGGTTTAGAGCAATCACACGCGGTAGCTGCGTCGCAGCGTGTGGATTCATAAAAACTCGTAAAACAAGCGTAGCCTGGTGATAGATGGTCAAATGACTATTGTTTGCAAACAATATTATCTCCAGCAGATAAGCTGTTTACTTTGGACTTCAGTTCCTCTGGTTGGAAAGCAGTCTGATTTATCAAGGCAGTACGGTTCGGTGCAGATGCCTCGTACCCCAGCTGTGGAAAAAAATCTTCAGAAACATAGCGAAGTTTCACTTCGAACTCATTTTTACAGATGGTTTCTATATTGCAAAGAGTATTGGCAGTTTCCTGGTGGTGCTTTTTTTTTCTTTTTAAACCCCAAACACTTTGTTGTCAACGAGTTAAGACTCACTCCTGAAGCTTACAGTAGACATCTGTTTGTTTGTTTTGTAGCTGTTTCGGTGCCTCGTCTTAGTCTGGAGCTTCGCGCTTTCCACCTCTGCAATCTGGCGCTATGCATCCAGATCCCGGACGCTTACAGGCACTGCTCTTCATCGCCGCCGCGGGTCTCCTCTCTGCCACGAGCTCAGGTAAGGTCCCCTCGCCCGCGCCCAGGTGGCTCGCTCAGAGGTTTCGGAGGTTGAGCCCCTGCTTTTGAATGAGCAGCGATTTGGAGTGCGTTTCCCAGTGGCCAACTTCGACACAGGACAAGGGGCAATGGGCACAAACCGAAGCAGAGGAAGCTCCAGCTGAACAGGAGGAAGAACTTCTTCCCTCTGAGGGTGACGGAGCCCTGGCCCAGGCTGCCCAGGGAGGTGGTGGAGTCTCCTTCTCTGGAGATATTCCAGCCCCGCCTGGACAAGATCCTGTGCAGCCTGCTGTGGGTGACCCTGCTTGGGCAGGGGGTTGGACTAGATGACCCACAGAGGTCCCTTCCAACCCCTACTATTCTGTGATTCTGTGATTCTGTGATGCGTGTTACTGATAAGCTGCTTTGAAGGGAGCACGGAGCGCTTAAACACACTCTGAAGCTGGATGCATGGCTTTGCTTTGGAAAACTTGGCTCCAAACGAGTGTGAGAATGTGGAAGGCTCTCGGTTACGTAGGTTTGTTCTTTGGGATCTCCATGGACTTAGCTGGACGCCGATTTTGCTGCGTGCAGCGCATCTTGTGTTCCCACGGGGCTGGGAGGGGTTTGAAATTTGCAGGGGGAAAGGGGAATCGGATCTTTGAAACAGGAACGTTGGTGCGTGGCTGCAGTTGGAACAGCTCTTGGGTTAAAAAAAAGAGGAGGGATGGTTTTAATTGACACATCTGCTCTGTGTAGTCAGCTTGTCTTAACGTAACCACACAAAAAAGAGGCTTTTACTACTTTTAGCACTTCATAGCCAATCGTTATAAGCAAATGGGATAAATTTTATTTTTGAAGCAGTCGTAGGAGATAAATTCCAGCTGCCAGGGTCACTGCTACCAATTTTGACTTTTACACTGAGCACAAAGTGGTGGTGTCAGAAGCAAGGGCAGGGGCGCAGATGAAAGCAGCACTGCAAGCCCATAGCCTTTGGTGGCTGGCACTCTAAAAAGGTCATCGCTTTGCTCTTGTCCCTGGAAATTCGAACTGAATTAATAGGAAAAACAGTTTTCCAGTGAAAAACTAAAAATGGACATCTGGAGTCCTGTGAAATGCTCGGGTACCATTTTTGTGGATTTCATCTATTTCGTTAAGTGGAGCCACAATTTAATTTCCAGTTTTATGTTTATGCAGATAGTTTATGGTTCCGTTAAAAACGTGCTGTTTCTCATCTGAAACTCATCTGTGTAAGCGGAGCTTGGATGGACTGACTTTAGAAGAAAAGCACGAGCCGAGGGCCCCACCTACAAGAAACCTCTCTCTTATTTGGCTGTCACTTAATGTCGTCTTGACCCCTACTATCTGGAATTCCTTAGCTTATTTACAAACTAGAACTTGGTTTCCCCTGCCACTGTGTCTGTGTTTAAATGTTTTGGGTTTTTTTTTTCCCTGCATTTCTAACCAGATAGGACTTACTGGTATTAATTGCTTTTTGCTTGCTCCCTCCATACAAGATTTTTAGCGGAGAATTCCGTAGAAAACAACTGGAAGTAATTCCCAGTGTTTCATTGGCCAGGGCAAGGAAAAAATTCCTCCAACAAGCAGGAATTTTCTTCTGGCAAATAAATGGATTCTCATAACCAAGTTTTGTGGAACTGAACCTTTTATTTATTAGCAGCTTTTCCTGTTTCTGTTCATCTTTACTCAGTAAAGATAATGGAGGCTCAATTCATCATTCTCTTCCTGATGAAGTCCATGTCTTTGGAATTAACAAGAGCCTTTGCTGTTCATCCAGCTTTTTTTATCCTGCTATTTTTAATTGGTTCTGCAGACTCGGAGACGGTTCTGCATAAATACCTGGCAGGCTGCTACCATTTCTAAAATTTTACAAGTCGCGTCCGGGCCCGCTTCGTATGGGACGGATCAGCTCCAGCTGCGTGGTCCCATACTCCAGCTCTTCAGGTGATGGCTGCTGTTTCACTCTGCCTAAATCCCGTGGGATTGCAGTCCTTGCTGGCCCTAGCGAGCGTGATGGCTTTGTCTCGTGCACGCTTGGGGATGCATCTCACCCTTCCTGGACGCTGAACCTGCCTTCGTTTAATTGCTGTTAGCCTCTTCGTGGGGTTTGGATCTCGTCTTGGAGTTTTCCCTGGCGTTAGAGATAGTGGGAATCTGTCACGCGTTCCTCTTGCAGAGGAAAAGGTGACACCTGCAGCCTGGAGTTACCCTTGGTTTGCCTGCCTTTGATCTGAAGAGTCTTTTAGCAATATTTAACCTTCTGAGGAAAGAAGTTTGCCCAGTCTGTGAACAGTGGCAGGAGCCTTGGGAGGCAGTGTCACTGTAAAACAGATTGTGGTCGGTCTTTTGTACGGGTCAGTGCGTCATTAACCTCATTACACGTTCGTGCAGAACGCTGTTCGCTAACCGAATATATATATTTTTCTTCCTTTTAGATTTAACTCCCCGTTTTATTTCTGAGCCCTTATCTACAGTCCAGAAGTCCGGTGGGCCTGTACAGCTCCGCTGCTCTGCTGAGCCCTCCGCGGCTCGCCTTTCTTGGCTGTTTAATGGGGAGCCTCTGGACAGCAAGGCGGGAGAAGTGGAAATCCAGTCAGGATCTCTGAGAATCGTCTCCCTCGGCCCGTCAACGTCTGGTCGCTATCAGTGTGTTGCTAACAGCAGCGTGGGCGCCGTTGTGAGCAGGCCGGCAACGGTATCAATGGGCAGTAAGTTCATTTTTCTCTCTGTTCCTAGCTCCTTGCCGATTATATGGACCTCAGCCCGTTTGTATGGTTTGTTTGTCTTTGACTTTTATAAAACACCTAATTTCAAGGTGTTTGAGGTTTTTTTCCCTGAGCCAGGACTTAGTATGTGATCAGTTATACACTTTTCACCATTTTCTTCTTTCCTGTGTCATCTGAGACCCGTGAGGCGATGCAGCCCTGGAACAGATCCTCCAGAGAGCTTGTGAATCTCCATCCTTGGAGGCTTTTGAAGGCTCAGCTACACAAATCCACAACTGGCCAATTTAGTGTTGGCGATGGCTCCATTTTGAGCTGAGGGCTGGGTTAGAGACCTCTAGAGTCCTTTCAAGCAAATATTAATATTATTCAGTGATATATTGTTCATTTCAATGAATTGACCTGAAAGTTCCCAAAATCTGCTCTTCAAAAAGGATCTTCAAACGGCAACTGAGCTGCCGTGTCGTTGCGGAAGCGTGCTTGAGAGTTGATTAGAAAAGAGGGGAGGTGAGTGACAGTTGTTGCCTGGGAAAGAAGTGGGAGCTGCCGCTTTTCCTTTTCATTTAGTTTTGACCAACTGAAATGAAGCTGCTAGATGTTCTTCAGGTGGGGACAGTCCTCTGTCCTTTGAGGTGCTCTCTCCGTTGCGCTGGTTCTGCTGATCAGTTTTTGCCTGAGCACTTGATCTGTAAATGATTTGATACTTTGGAAGAGGAAGGGCGATGTTTTCCATGTGGAAGGGACGATGTGGTGCTGAAAATGGGAGTGTAATATTCCTTGGTGAGTGCTGCTTGGGATGACGGTGCCTGTCTGAATCAGGCCTTTGTCAAGCAGGGTTTGAGTGATTTCTCTGTAAGGGTACCTCATCTATGGAGCATGTCCACAATCCCCCGGGGAGGAAAATTTCTTAAAAGCGAGAGAAGTAAGTGTTTTGGTAAAGTACTGACCCATGGCAAGACCTTCTCAAGAGAGCTATAAGGGTGGCTAACATAGAAAAACTTCACAACCTAGAAGATGCTTTGAACGTGAAGGGAGTAGAAGAGCAGCTTTCACGCTCTTCTCCTCCTTTTGAGATTTTTAGTAACAAATTAGAAGGTGCTGCTAGCTGTTGAGGCTTTCTCCTTGCCTCGTTGCTCGTGGCAATGAGTGGGCAGCGTTGCCGTACTCGGTGTTGTGTTAATTATAATCCCAGAAAGACAATTTCACGTTTCTTACGGAGAGGCTTCCTGCTGTTAGTGTAAACTGCCTTCTGTAGTGCCTTCGGAGCCCGTGAGCAGCACTGCGGTCTTTCAGATACCTCTGCTCGCTTCTCCTGGGGCAGCTGAGCAAACGTAGGGACTGTTTGTATCCTCACTATTCTCATGTAAAAGCTGGCCCTTTCTTTAGCGAGGGAGCGTGTGTACACAAGCGGCTTTTATGCTGTTACGGACCACGAAAACGCCTGTTGATCAGAACATTGAAATGCTGCACCGGAGGAGATAAACGTAGCTGGTTTCAAGCTTATTTAAACACAACTACAGAGCTTACTGCCTTTCTCCTTTCCCAAGCCGTGGCTGCTCTTAACCTGTTACCGGTTCTCTTCCAGGCCTAGCGGGTTTTGAGACGCCGGTGAAACCTGCCGTCGCAGCAGAGGAAGGAGGTACGGCTTTCCTTGGCTGCGAGGTGCCAGAAAGCAACCCTAAAGCACAGGTTCGCTTTCAAGTGCGGGGACGGTGGCTGGAACAATCAACAGGTGAGGTGTTTTATGCCGCTGCTCAGCAACGTAAATAGCCACAAAAGCTTGCCTGGATTTTTTTCTTAGAACTTACAGGAAAAAAGAAAAAAAAAAAGCCCCACAACCCTCCAGAAACTTGCAGAACTTCCTGTGCAAATCACTTTAGCTGAACTTACCTCTGTCGAGGAATATCCTTTGCATGGCAGCGTGATTGCTTTGTGATCCTGCATTTGGGATAGATGGATATATCTGACAAGTTGTTTTAAAAAATTATTTTTTTTAAAAAAAGGAAGCCTTTTTTGAAACTAAGTTAAATGCAGTCTTCTTTTTTCCTTCCCCATTTGTTTAGACAACTACCTAATACTTCCATCTGGAAACCTGCAGATTTTGAATGTATCGTCAGAAGACAAAGGATCCTATAAATGTGCAGCGTACAACCCCGTCACTCACGATCTCAGAGCAGAACCCGCTGGACGTAAGCTGGTAGTCACACGTGAGTATTCAGTTCAGCTTTCCAGAATGAATACATCTCAAACCAAATGAGGAACGCCCCTAAGATCTGTAGCATGGGCAGAGCAGCCTGAGCGTCCACTGCTCTCCAATACCACGTTGTGTGAAATCTGTCCTGCGTTGTTTGCACGTTCAGTTCTTATTTCCCCGTACGGTGGAGGAGCAGCGCGGCTGCTTCTCAGATCCCAAGAGGACAGAGCGCTTAGTCCTCGAAAAGGGGATGCTGCTAATACTCCAGTCGCTGAACCGATTTCGGAGCAGGGCTGCTGGAAGGGAGCGTTACAGTACCGTGCTTAGTTAGTGACGAGCCTCATCTCCTTTCCTCCAGGCTCCTCTTCCTCAGGCGGCTTCCGTGTCCTTCACCCCCTGGCACCGCAGAGCCTGGCAGTGCCCCGGCACAGCCCTCTGATGCTGGAGTGCGTGGTCAGTGGGCTGCCTCCAGCCGCCGTCCTCTGGGTTAAGGACGGCCGGGACGCCCTGAGAAAAGGCAGGTGGAGACGGCTGCACTCTCACCTGGTGACGGACAGGCTTGAGGCGTCGGACTCTGGCAACTACTCCTGCGTGGCAGGAAGTGACTTTGGAGTAGTGAAATACGCTAACTATTCACTTACTATACTTGGTAAGAAATAAAGGAACTGTCACGTCCAGGATGAATGTTTTGGTTGTATGCATGCTGGTTTTGGCACCTGATTGCAAATAGCCGAACGCTCTTTCTCAACCTAAGCATATTAAAATAAAGCATAAAGATGTGTTCATAATGACCGTATCTCATCGTCTCTCCCAAGTTAAACTCCATAACTATTCATCTCTTGAAATCCTTTGCAGTCTGAAATAAACAGTTAAGGATAACAAACTCCGAGGGAAGAACTGGTGTATTTATTTTTCTGCAGAGTGCCAAGTGTATGTGGGATATGGCGTCAATAAGGTGCCAGAGATCAGATGTTTCTCTTTTGAGCTTGTGTATAAGCAAGAAGCTGGGGAGGAGAGGTGATATGTTTGGATGAGGACAAAAACAAAAGCTGAAGAAATAAATTCGGCCTCTCTTGTGTGGCTGCAAGTCATTCCTGATTTCCCCTTCCCTTTGTAGGAGGTTTTCCTGTCCTTTGAGGTTTGACTGGTTTTGTTTGGCTTTTGAAATATATACATTAGGGTAACACAGAAAATAGGTTGTTGACACACAATACACCTTTTGTTATGGGGATGGCACCAAAGAATTATTTTGAAAATACAAGTGTTTTATTTGCAGTATTAACGCAAACACGTGACTGTTTGGAATAGAAGAGAGAGACCGTTAAAATAATAAAGTCTGTGGGGAAAAACAGCTTTAGGCCGTGTGGAACTAGAAGTATGCGGCGCTTGCTTAGCCTTTGTCTGCAATAAGCTTGCGTAACGTTTCGCAGTATTTTTTTTCAGGACTTAGAGCTGCGACCAGCATACGGTGGCTGACGTAAAATTCTTTCCCTTCGTAGAACCTGCCTCGATCTCCAAGGGACTGCAAGACGAAACCGTGGCCGCTGGAGCGACGGCGCATTTCTGGTGCGATGTCAGCGGAAGCCCTGCGCCAACCCTCACCTGGCCGCCCCACGCAGCTCCCCTCCGCCCCTCCCCCCCC